GCCCAGGGTTGACGGTCTTTAATAATATCTCGTCGGCAGGGTTGGGCACGTATCAAACTCAACGTATCATACGTGGTTTCATACATGGATGAATCTATGTATAATACATCATAAGTTTCAGCCATGTAGTAAAATGGCGCTGGTCACGTGCACATCACACCACATCACACGGGCACAGAGGCTGCGGTCCACTTGTAACGTAACCTCAAACTATGTTATACTGATTTACATATTCCAAATCTACAAAATAAAACAAATAAGTACTAAGCAAGTAATTAGCAGTCATGAATCGAGGAGGTAGACCTCTACATAAATACTGGGAAGAAGGCAAATTTAAAAAAATATATGAAGACAAAAAACTTTGTTTTGTCTTCATATATTTATTATCAAAATGAAATTGACAGCCTGTTTTAACAGTGTCAACGCTGTTAACCTTCATTAATTAGCCTTGTCCAACGTCGGTGACAATAGCTACAATTCTCGTTTAAGGCGATGCTAAAGCCCCCCTGTTTTACCACATTCCTATTCGGTGGGATTTCTCCGTATTGGATGTACGGATTGCAAAAGTATTATTACTTAAATTATAGTACGCACACAGAGGATGTTTGCTACACTGGATTTTATGAAAAAATCGAAAAAAAATTATAAAATTTACTTATTTTTGGCTCGCACAGCTGTCACCTCGGATATATATTTGCTTGATATAAGAGTTTTAGAGTCCATATCTTGAAAATAAGCGGGCAGCAAACATCACATTATTGAAACGAACGATACCGAATTTGTAGAACTAAGATTGAAAGTCTAGAAAAGATATATTCCCACCGAATAGGAAATACGTGTATACAGATGCTTTGCGGAGACTGGGACTGTCAACAGAGCCGAAATTCCGTGTAGTAGTAGTTGCGCGGTCTTGCGATAGATGGTGCTGGCATATGTTAGATAAGAACAGATGTATGCGTTTGAGTAAGACAGAATGATATATATTATATAATATAATGTAAAAACTAAATAAAAAATGTCGCCACTATTATCGAAATTGGAATTAAAAAAGTCTGTACTATCGACCTTGATTGAGTTGGGTAATCGGTTTCATCCCCTTAAGGGCCCAGATAGACAAGCGTGCGATACCGACACCAACTCGCACAAGATACCGCTACCGTACTGTTACTGTACTGCCACGAGATGGCGATGTACGGTGTAACTGTACGGTAGCAGTACAAAAAGTGTACGTGATAATATAGTACAGCGTATCAACACTGTACCTGTACTGCGTACTATTTAGGTACGTCATGGTACATAACCCGTATCATATCAATACGGTGTACCATTATCGACAGGAGAGAAACTGTGGAGATCTCTATGTCGAAGACGATATACATGATAACTGGTACTGCGAAAGTACAGCGTATGATTGCCTAACCTGAAAATAGTCGTTATAACATTAAAATGAAATATTAGACAGTAACTGACTGGATGTTCAGTTGAAGTGCATAAATTTCTATTAGGACCATATATTGACCAGGCTCACCGTACTAATACCGTGGAGGTATTTGTCTATCTGGGGGATGCTAAACCGATTACCCAACTCAATCAAGGTCGATAGTACAGACTTTTTTAATTCCAATTTCGATAATAGTGGCGACAT